AGTGCCTATGTGACGTTAAATGTGACTCAATGATTCAGGTGATTAATTACGATGTTTTCATGTTCCTCAAATCATTGTCAGTCTCGTGAAGGTTTGAAGCAAGGCTTAAACTGAGATGAAGTTAATTACCGGTGCTGTAATTGATTATGGGCAACTATTGTGGCTAGAGTTATTATTATGGGCCTATGTATGATGTGTTACGTTATGTGGTTGTGCCGTGCTAGTGTAGAAACGAGTTGCTATAGTCGGTTGAGACTAATACCGTGTGTTGATATGAAGATCATGCATTTTGAAAATGTTTGGAGTGAAAGAAATTTGGTTCTAAGGTTTATAAGTGTAGACAGGAGAAATAATCTCAATTGAGATAGTGTTGTCGGACCTATGTGGATTGGGGTGATGTAGAATCACCCGCGAGCATATGTATGAAGAATACACCCATTAGTTGGATGTCCTCAGAAACGTTTTTGGCACGTTCGAGGACGAACATTTGTTTAAGAGGGGGAGAATATAACGATCTGACTTGTCGTTTTGAGACTTGACATCTCGTTCAACGGCTTAAGGTCCTGAACAGATTCGTATTGTGAATTATAACTTGGGTGTATGGTCGAGTTTGGTTTTCGGATGATACGGGATTAAATTGAAAGAACAATTCTTATTTTTTGAAACTTAAGTAAAAAGAGTTGACCGGAGTTTGACTTTTGAGTAAACGACTCCGGAATAGAGTTTTGATGATTTCAATAGCTTCGTATGGTGATTTCGGACTTAAGAGTATGTCCGAATTTGGATTTGAAAGTCCGTAGGATAATTCATCGCATTTTGGCGAAAATAAGAAAATTGAGTTTTGAAATATATATAAGTTTGACCGAGGGTTGACCTTGTTGATAACGGGTTCAGATTTCGATTTCGAACATTTGAATAGCTACATTATGATCAAATTACTAAAGTTAGACCACCCAGTAATTTTGGCGGACAGCGAAGCGAAGCTTGCTTCGCTAGACCAGATGCGGATCCTGTCTTCCCTTGCATGCAGTGGACAGCGAAGAGAGGCACACTTCGCTAGAGTAGACACACCAAACTCTAGCTCTTTTTAAGCCAATTCGGGGTTCATTTTCCCCATTTCACTTGGACGGATTTTGGAGCTCTTCTCCACTCTCTCAAAACTACCAACTCCCCTCTTATTCAAGGTAAGCAATTTCCATTATCTTGGTGTGAAATTCCATCATTTCTATACTAGTATTGATGAAATCTACACATAAAATACTTAAATCTTCAAGAAATTTTTTCAAGAACTCAAAGAGGATTTTGCAAGATTTCTTTCAAAAAGGTAATCCTACACCCTTAGACTTACATGTACGGATTTATTATGGGAATATGAGTATGAATTAAGTATTGGAACTCATGGTATGGTGATTGGAAGCCATAAATCCCCAATTTAAATACATAACTATTGTAGAGATTGAAAGGTGATTCATTGATGTAAGTTTTGTTGGTTGGGTGTGGATGAATGGTCGTGTGATGATTAAAAGTTATAAATTTGTTTAAGAATGATGGTGGGATAAATCATTGGTAAATGGTGGTAGTTGGATGAACTAATTCTATGGTTAAGAGATGTAGAGATTTATGCATTTTAGTTGTTTGACAAAATGCCTAAATGGCCTAAAAATATGGAAATTTTCACTAATATTGGTCCAATTGAATTATGTTGATATAGTTTGAAGTTGTAAGAGTAGTTGGAGGTTTTAATATCACTAAAGAGCGGAATCAAGAAAGCTCGGTTTGTGGCGATTTTGCCGAGGGATTTTCAAGGAAATATTTATCTGGATTAGAGCTATTCGAAGTTGNTGTGTCATTCGTGTTATGTGAAGGTCGTGTACGCGAGGTGACGAGTGGGTACATGACCTATATAGGGTATTTTACCGGTTTGGACTGTTAGGTTCCTTCTATGCAATTGATTATAATTATCGTTTCATGATTGTATCTCTTATTGTTAGAATTATTTGTACGTGCTTTACTTAAATTGTTAGCACATGTTCCATCTTTGTTATCAAGATCACCTTGTATGCCAATTGTTGATCGTAACCACTCGTTGAATTCTTGATTTACCTGCTACATGCCTTAATTGTTAATTGATGCTCATAAATTGTGCCTTGGCTTATGGATTGTCATTTTCTTGTTATTTGATTTCGTAAGCTATCGTGTAGCCTTTTTAATTAGTTGTGACTTCTTTGTGTAACCTCGTTATTTCTTTTGATTTTGTGATATACCATAGTTGGTTGTAAATTGGTCGACTAATATTGTGAGGGATCGGGTTGCACGCCGCAACATATATAATTTATTATTGTGAGGGATCGGGTTGCACGTCGCAATAAATATGATTATTATTGTATGGGATCGGATTGCACGCCGCAACATGTATGATTTATTATTGCAAGGGATCGAGTTGCATGCCGCAACAAATATACAAATATGAAATTATTGTGATATTAAGGTGAATTCCGATTGTGATTTTCACGATGCATTTCATGTTAGGACAGTTACTGTGGTTTCTTAAATCATCTCATTGTATTTTAATTATAATTAATTAACCGTCAATATATTAAAAATAGAATAATATGGACTTCTTGTGTGAGTCATGCATCCCATGTGATATGTTAAGTTGCTGAGAATTTAGCAGAGGTAAATGAAGGAATTTTCAAGCTGTTCCACTTGTGTGTCTTCCAAAAATAAAACTCATATCTTATTCAGAGATTTACTAAATTAAATGGTGATTATATTTTTACTCTAATTGATATCTCAATCTTCTCATCATCTTATTGTCATGTAAATTGCATGAAAAAATGTTATTTCGTTTTACTTTAATAAATCCCATATTTATCTCTTAAAAACTTGATTGAATGTCTTATTTTGTATAAATATAATATTTTATCGGATCTCCTATACTTCTATACTAAATTCAATTAATATTCTATTTGTACAACCTCTCCACTATTTTACCTTATCTAAATCCTAAATTAGTTTAATGATTCATTTTATGCTTCACTGTATTAATTTGAAAATTGTATTTAATTATGTTTAAATTATCCATTGGTCATCTTGGTTGATATTGATACGGAAATTATACACATGGTAGCACAAGAATTTTGGCGTGCAAAAGTGATTCGGAAGATGTGGGTACAAGATGCCACATATGTAAGATTTAGGAGTTGTGAATCATGAATTGAGATTTCGTGGAGTGATACCTCGGGTAATTTATGTTGAAATACATGCATCATAAATAATTTAATTAATTGATTTGTCATATGATTCCTTACTTGAACCCATCCATATGTCATTTGTACTCTGACTATATTGTTGCTTAATTACTTGATTGTTTTCTCGTTGCTATCCGTGTTCTCATAGTTCTCATTGTTGATTTGAATTGAAAATTCTTCTGTTATTGGCCTACATTGATATTCTTTCCTTATTAGCTTTATGTAGTATTTTGTACAGGTTTATATGTCCGGTAGGTGTCTTGACTTGGCCTTGTCACTACTCTACCGAGGTTAGGATTGATACTTACTGGGTACCGTTGTGATGTACTCATGCTACTCTTCTTCATATTTTTGTGCAGATCTAGGTACCTCAGAGTTGTTAATATTCCATTTATCTGATTGTGCATCTCTGCGGAGACTCAAGGTACAGCTGTTGTCGCGTTCGCAGGCCTCAGAATCACCTTCTAATATTTTCTTTGTGATGTTTGATACTATTCTGGAACAGTTGCACTTAGAGATTTTCTGGTAAACTCTGTAGAGCTTGTGACTTGTACTACCTGTTTTGGGAATTGTAAAAAAATTTCTATTTCATATTCAATTAAATATTTGGTTGATTTATTATTATTTCAACTAAACTATTAAAAATGGCTAAAATTATTCTAACGTTGGCTTGCCTAGCAAGTGAAATGTTAGGCGCCATCACGATCCCGAAGGTGGAAATTTTGGGTCGTGACACCTGTAAAACCAATTTTATGGAATATGGTATTTCAGGCACAAATTAGTCTGGGATTTCCCATATTCGAATGACTGTAACTTTGAAATTCCATTGCATCGAGTTGCTTGAAATTTGTGTGGCCATATTTATAAAACTGTTGTAGTAATCAGACTAGTATAGTGAGTAGATAAAATCGGAATTTGAAATAATAAAGCTATAAATCAATCGGTTACAGAAGTGTAGATAAAATAGGATTTTTGGTGGAAGCCCACATTTGGAGCACGATCAGTCGTCGGTTCATCCTCCCACTATTTTTTTTCTTTTTCTTTATAAAAATAATTTACAAATTAGATTGTGTAGTTGTTTATTAAAAAACTGCCAACCTAAAAAGTGGGAGGATAACTACCAAATTGTGGGAGGGGATATACAATTCTTTTGAAATTCGCAGGTTGCAAGTTTATTTCCTTGATTTATATTTTAAATTAATTTTTAACTCCAACTATCTTGGAGATTTATCCTAAAGTTTGATATGTGTTGAATCGTAGGTAATCCACTTGGCATCCTCTCATATTTTTGCTTTTGTTATTCTATATAGAAGATAAATTTTTTACCTTTCTTTACATTTTAAACATATAGCCCGGTGAATTAGTCCAGCAGAACTTAGTTTGGAGGTTTTGTGAATATATATACTGTCAATAACGCTTTCCTTATTCCTATTCTTGATTGACGTCAATAAAGCTTTTTGGCAAAATATATTGACAACCCTTTAAAGTTGTCTCAACTTTTCACTTAAACACTTTATCTTAATTATGTTTATTTGAACACTTTATCCAGGCTTTTACTGTGTCATTTAGACACAAAAAACTGACATGACAAAGTAAGTGTTTCTCACATTTTTTATGCGCGTGAAATGATTCGAAAAATAAATTTCCCATACTTCTTGCCGAAAATAAATAACTTTTGACGGAAAAATATTCCTCAACAATTCAAAAGGAGGTCGAGATTAAAAAAAAAGGTGCATTGTCCATATCATCTCCTGTTTCAAGGCCATTGAGCTTCATGTCATCAACGATTCAACCTCGGGTTTTAGAGTCAATCCTCCATCAAAATAAAACAATATTCACTTTGTAAATATTCAAAAAATATAGATCTGAATTGACCCAACTCTTTCGACGGTTAACAATGGTGCGTCAATTCTAACCAGTTTAATATTCAATCAAAACACACCAAACTGTACGGGTAAGTTCATATTGATGTTAAGAGCAAACCCCAATATTCATTTAACCAAAACATCAACAAATCAAGGGTTTTAAATTTTGATTCCTAGTTTCAAGTTCTTCAAATTTTTAATGGTAAATTTTCAGATTGAGTCACGATTTTTCCGTCACTTTTATCGGTGCACTATTATCACTTTCGGTGGAATGATGGTGGCAGCCACTTTTATCGGGCCAAGCTTCGTCATCACGAGGTGGGGTTCGGAAGGGGCGCGGTTCGCAGAGGTTGCCGATGGAACGACTGCGAAATGTGCGGCTGTTTGTTGTTGTTGCCCATGTGGGCTCGATGAACCTCCTTGTGCTAACTGGGTATAATTTGCCGGCGGTACTTTGCCGGAAATACCAACGTCGGCGGGTGTCGTGTGAAGAGCGTAGCTTTCTTGTAATTTTTTTTCTGTTTTTCAGAAGTTTCTGTTTTATTTATTTAAGTTAAATCCACGTGTTCCCGTTTTATTCGTCACTCTGGCGTGTGAATTACACGCATATTTTATATTTGGTTGCCTATCAATTTGTGTGTCTAAATAACACAGTAAAAATCTGGATCAAATAGAACATACTTAAGATGATGTGTTTAAGTCAAAAATGAAAACAACTTTAAGTGATCTATTTTGCCAAGTTTTTAGCTGTCTATGTCCCATATATTCTTCATGTGATATTGATTTCCTCTCTCTTTTTTTTGGTAGGCACCAGACTTAGATTGTGGCACGCCGTCACCAATTGGGCCAAGAAGATCACTAGACGATAGTAACAATGCAAATCGAGCGAGTGCTAATTAGTAATCATTGTTTACTAACTATTCTTCTTGAACAACTATTAATCTTTGTAATTTTAATACATTTGATGATGTACTTTGGAGTACTGATATTTTATACGATGAGAAGTGTTATAGAAGTTTGAATGCATAGGATACAATAAATAAGACGTGAATGTGGAACGGTAAAATTGCTAAAATTAATTATGGCTAGAAAAGATTGCAATTACGCATAAATATCTGCAATTTTGGGTGGTTTATTAAAATCTCCATATTAAACAACTATGTCATATCAAACGGTTGAAACTGCGGCGGTTTTAAGCAATATATTACAACAACTTAGAAAAAGCGCTTAATTTTATGTTGAGGCGAGTGAGATTATGATATTTTTCTCATTAATTAATGCACATCATAACAACAATGTAGTGGACCAAGCACACGCGATTTTGTGTTGACAATGAAACTTTCAATTTTAAAAAGCAAACCTTCAATAAAAGATTACATTAGCTTTCGTTATCCTTGTTCCATCTCATAAATAAGTTTTTAAACCATTACACGTACATACACTTCTAAAACTAGGTTTAAGTTTTATGTAGTGTTGGAGTAAAAAATATTTACACAATATAGTCACTTATTGAACAAATCACTAATATATGAAATTGTAAAACTAACTCGTTAGCACATGTCATAAATCTTTAGACATTTAATATATATTCATAAAATCTTTAGACATCTAATATATGCAACTTAAATCCTTAAAACTAAATGTCATAAATCCAAATATCAACAGTAACAATTGGTTTGATGAAATAGGGCCCATTGACGAGTAGGTCTTTTGGATCTTAACAGCCAAATGCGGAGACGAATGTTCTTATTTCTTTATATAACTAAAATTTTGAAAAAAATGAAGCAAAATCTTAACTAATAAAATCTCTAAAGAAAAAGTCCACCATTTGCAATTTATTGCTGATTAATAATTAATCTGTGTAGCACTGACTCTAACTCATATATATTCACCAAGCTAGTAAACTACTATTACGGAGCAAGCTAATGATTTCAACTTTAACTAGCTTTCTTAAACCTTTCAGTAACGTTGCAAATATTAATAAATTAATTATATGATTGTCCTAACAACAAGTCGTTATAGTATAGTGGTAAGTATTCCCGCCTGTCACGCGGGTGACCCGGGTTCGATCCCCGGCAACGGCGATATATTCTTTTGTGAGCCTTTTCCAGCAATTTTTTTGTTTCTACTTTGGCATCTTGTTCACGTACTCTTACCTCAATTGTCATGCTATTTTTCTCTTGGATATTTCTTTACTTTTGCCAGTGTAACGTATCTTAATTATTGTCGAAATTATTTGCCACTCTAGACTCAAGTGAAAAAAGATTGAAACAATGTTCTCGTAAATTGGCTAGTACCCAAGTTGGATGGATCTACCTTTTCAACAAGGAGCAATTAGGGATCTATTCGAATTACTTGAAGTGGTTAAACTAAAGAACTCTTTAATTTGTGTATTAAAAATACAGAACCAAGGGAAGGCAGCTTAAACAATAAAATTGCAAGGTTCTCGGCAAACTGCTCATGCGCTATTTACCAGTATAGTTGCAATAGTTACATGCCATCACCATTAAACAAACAAACAAAACAAAATCATAAAATTACCACAAAAAAGGTATATCATCTTTATGTTTCCCTTTGCTTTTGTGGATTTTGTTTCTTTGTTGTCACTGTTGAGAAGTATATAGAATTAATGCTTTGGTGCCTGTCACTGCTGTTGAAATTATCACCTTGTTTTTGCTCTAACGGTTTCAATGAAAATAAATGGGGTATAGATGGGAAATTATCACCTTTTTTTCTCGGTTCTTTGTTTGTGTAAATGTGATGATTGAGATGGGAAATTCAAGAATGTTTGTTTTCATCCATTCCAATTCACATAATTTAGGACTTTCTTAATTTATTGGTTAATACATGTATTGGTGTTCAATTCCACTTGTGAGAACTTTGTTGTTGTTGACATGCGGGTTTACCCTCCTAACATTGATTTAGAGGGTAATGTCTGCCTCAACATATATACTTAGAGAAGATTGGAAACCTGTCCTCAACATTAACACACATCGTTTATGGATTATATCATATTTTTACGGTATTTTTGTCTCTCTAAAATCACAAGTTATTGTATATATACACACAATAAACACGGTCAATTTCGCTCGGTCAGTTCAACACTTGTGCAGGAGTCAAATCACGGGGATCCTCTTAATCACAATGCTGCTGCAGTGTCGAGAGATAATCCTAATCCTAAGAAATGAAGGTGATGAATGTCGATAAAAAATACAACATCGAATAGAAACAAATATGAGACTGTGAAAATGGTTGATAAACTGATATCAAAGAGCAAAGCTGCAGGGCAAAGAGATGAATAATCTAGTCTTTGTAAAGATGAATTATCAGTATTTTCATGACCAATGAGAAGACATGAACTGCTACAAGATGCAAAAGGGATAAACTTTTCAACAATAGAAAAAACATAATAGCAGTAATGAATTTTGGAGTAAAGCAAGAAAAGATTAAAAGCTTCATGGGACAATATAATGTCCTCATCAACCATGAACCAGTTTCTTGACTACTGCAGCCATATATTTGCCCTGATATTCTGCTACTGCCAGCTCGGTTTCAGTAGCTTTTCTCGAACCATCTCCAGCAAATACACCAGCACCATACGGCGAACCTCCTCGGATGGAGTCCATATCGAACATATCAGCTCCGAACGTATAGCCAATTGGAACAAAGAGCATTCCATGGTGTGCTAGTTGGGTGATTGCTGTCCAACTGCGCGGATTAACTCATTTTTTAGTAACCCGTCCAAGTTTATAGGAGTTGAATTATGAAGCTTATTTGACTTAATAGGTAGTGTTGTGTTGAACTTAGGCATACTCACATATAAAATCAAATTGTGATCTATATAGTTAGACGTCAACTCAATACACAAAAATTATGAACAAATAAAAACATTTAAATAGGGACAGAGCCAGTGTACATGTTACGCGTTCGGCCGAATCCAGTAACTTTAGTTTAAATTATGTATTTATCTTAAGAAATCCATTGAATGTGTTTAAATTCTTATTTTAGAATCCACTAACTTAAAAGAACTAGAATTCTAAACCCAGTAACTTCAAATTCTGACTCCGCCATTGCATTTAAACATCTAATGAGATAGAGTAATCTATAAAGAGAATGAGTGGAGCTTACGCAGTGGTTTCTTGTCCACCTCCTTGACTCCCAGTACTTACAAAAAACCCAGCAGGTTTTCCAGCAAGCTTCTGTTCCTTCCACAAAAGTCCAGTTGAATCAAAGAACGCCTTCATTTGAGCCGCCATGCAACCATATCTATGTGGACGAATCCAAGGTTTAATGTTAGTAGATTCAGAACGAGTGTGATATTGTTTGTATGTATATATAGTTTGAGCCAACAAATGAACTCAGCTGAACTAGGGATGGCAAATCAACCTTTTCTTAAGTATCTCGTCCAAGTTTAAATGTGTTGAGTTATGACCTATTTGTTGATTTGACTCAACAGATAGAACCCGAAATGGCTTATCAAAGGGTTCAAAATAGTATAACCCAAGGGTTCAAAATGCGACAGAAGTTCAAACATACAAAATTAATTTGAGATTGAGAATTATATAAATTTGGAAGAACTTAGCTAATATTGAGAAAATTACATTAGTTTTCTTTGTCAAAAAGAAACTAAAAACGGAAAAAAGAAGTTAGGCCTCATTTGTTTACACTTAATGGAGGTATGAATCTTAATCATTCAAATCTGCGTTTGTTTTCAAAGTCTGAATCTTAATTATTCAGATCTTAATTGTTAAGCTGTTTTTTTTTTTTTTTACTTCACAACCACTTAATGAGTCTGTATCATTAAGATCTATAACAGAGACTTAATTTCACTAAGATGCTATCATCCATATTCATTATTAACTGCCGCCACCGTCTACCATTATCAACAACCACCATGCCACCCACTACCACCATCATCCTCAATCTTAGCCGCCACCATTGTCGACTACCACCACCCACCATCCCCACCACTCCCACCACCATCATTAACGACAACCAATACTCATCCACCTCAACTGCCACAACTAACCATCCCATCACCATCAACAAACATAGTTGGCACTGCCCATCATTATAAACTACCACCACCTACCATCATCTTCCTCAATCACAACTACCACCACCACCACCACCATCATCCTCAATCATAATAGCTACCACTACCAATCACCACTGGCTACTACCCTAAACTGCCACCAACCACTGCTTTTAATTGGTATTCACAAGCACTACCGTTAGCCATCACCACCAACAACTATCATATTTTAAAAAGCTATATATTTAAGAGATGTAATATTAGATTAATTAGTATTTTATTTGAATTTTATGTTTATTAATTTTCAAATAAATATAAATTTTATACATTCAGATGTTAAAAATCAAAGAATCTTAATTATTTAGTATTCAGATCTTAATACACATTTTAATATTCAGGCGTGTATTCAGATTCAGACGTCTTAATCTTAAAAAAAAAACAAATGAGGCCTTAGATCATGCTGGGCGGACTGAAATATGACCCATTATTTGATCAAAACTACTCAAATAAACTTCGGGCTTGTTGGGTCATGGCCCGTTTATTAATTTGACAAGCCCAAATTCGTCCCAACTCACAAATTTGCTACCTTAATATACATATATATCAAGCCCAAAGCCACTGATACAGGTGCTTTTAGGCCTCTAAATTTTGGGCTCCCATTTTTTTAGCTAAGTAGATTTTATGTCTAATGTTCTTCAAAAACTACATAATATTTTTAAGTAAAATTACTCGATTTTTATTAAAAATGAAACGAGAACATTTTAAGTTATATTGTCAACTGAAAAAATATAGAAGAAATTGATTAAAAATTTGTTAACAACTTGCATCTCAAAAGCTAAAAAAATAGAGTTCAATTATATTGTCATTTGAAAGATTCCTTTTTTCTCTTATTAAGGCCTTTTAACAAAATTTTGCTTTAGGCCACACATTTTGTTAACCTGCCATATATACTACTTTTTTTTTTTTTCCATACGTATGTA